GGATATTCCTATAACACAGTGACTATTGTAGTCTGAACGTAGCTCTACGTTCAGATTCCTAACGTAATATTTTTTCCTGTTTACATAAACTAGTTGTAGTAAATGCAATTGTAATAGTGCTTTTGTCATGTGCTGGGAAAAAAAAGCCTGATACGTGGGATGAAGATGAAGATGGAATATGGAAGCCACCGAATATCCCAAATTCAGCATACAAGGGTCCATGGAAGCCAAAGGTTTGTTATCCCTAACTTATTTACTGACAAAAAGAACATCTTACTTGTTATGCGCTTGGTACATCAAATACATTCTAGCAGTTATTAGCTCTAACTGATTCCAAATCATGAAAATTGCAGAGAATCAAAAACCCCAACTATATGGGAAAATGGAAGACTCCATGGATTGACAACCCAGGTAAGTTGTGATTATTGGTGATTTTATTTTCATTTGTTTTAAGTAAGCTTGTTGCAGGTGATGTACCCTGCCAAATTTTACAGATTTTGAAGATGATCCTGATCTCTATGTGCTCAAGCCTGTGAAATATGTTGCTATTGAAGTATGGCAGGTATTAAATATACTTCCAGCATTTGTTGTGCTGAAAGAATGAAATGTTTCATGTGATATTCATAGATGTTATGAACACTTGCAGGTAAAGGCTGGTTCCGTTTTCGACAATGTTCTTGTATGCGATGACCCGGAATATGCGAAGCAAGTTGTGGAAGAGCTTTGGACAAAAAATAAAGAGGCTGAGAAGGAAGCCTTCGAGGAAGCAGAGAAAATCAGAAGAGCTAAAGAAGAAGTGGTATGAACAAAGTGTTGATTTCAAATTGAATTTTACTTTGTTATTGATGTGTAATTTGGTAATAATTGTTCAGGAAGCTCAGAGAGCAAGGGAAGAAGGTGAGAGACGTCGAAGGCATAGGGGATATGACCGGCATCGTCGAGAGAAGGAGGCGTATAGAAGGGTGTGTTGTTGGTCTATACTCCTAATAGAACCCATTGAATGTTTTTTTTATAAGCATTTACCTCTACAAAACATATTTTAATTCAAAACAACACGCTTGAAAGTTAATGTCCTTTAATCCATACAATTAAAACTCTAATTGGTGTATTTTTATTGCAGCGTTACCGGGATTTTGATCATGATTATCATGTAAGTTCTGCTCTGAAATAATTGGCCTTAAGAAGGTGGTACTCAAATTATTAGGCAGATTAGGGGTGGCTGGAGGCTCTATAATAACCTCTGGTCATTCCTTTTAATATATATATATATATATATATATATATATATATATATACATATATATATATATTACATACATCTAACACCTAAATTTGTGCATATATACCTATGAAGATTTGGGTGATGTGAAGATTTATATTTTATAAGTATAAAAGCAAATTTAGGTGTTAGATGTATGCAAACGCCTCATATATGGAAGATTTAAATAAATACCACTCAATATATATATATATATATATATATTAAAAGGAATGACCAGAGGATATTATAGAGCCTCCAGCCTAAGATGCAATTAATTCTGTTTTTGCAGGATGAACTCTGAGCTGCATGACTGCATCAAGGCAAAAGAATGTTATTTTAGCAGTGCTGTTAGCGGTAGCAGCAGGGAGAGAGTAGGGGCTTTTGAAATAAATGCTATAAATAATGTCAAAATTTTCTTTGAATTATTAATTTATTATAAAATATTTGTGTCCCCCGTTTAAAATTGCTTATAAATCCCTATTTCAACAGTAAATTTTTATTTTTATTTTTAAATATATTTATTATGTAATTTATTTATTTTTAATTTTCTTAAATTTAAAAATAATTATGAGTGTTTGTTCTTTCGCTGCGATTAGGGCTGTAAACGAGCCGAGCTTGAGCGAGCTCAGGCTTGGCTCGGGGTCCGCCCCGTCCGAAAAGCTCGTGTGCGAAATCGGCTCGTGCTCGAAATTGGCTCGTGAACAGTGTGTTTGTGTTCAGCTCGATTTAAATATTTGTGTTCGTGTTCGGCTCGAACTTGGCTCGTAAAAATTAATTTGAAAAAAATAGATGTAAAGTATGGGATTCGAACCTGAACCAAATGTATACAAAAGAAAGTATTAACCACATTACCACACGATGTGTTATGATT